TATCGAGGTATCCCATCTCCCTCTCTTGGTGAGGATCTTTGGGTAAAAACCTTGTCTAGTTCTTTGGATGGGTAACAACGGTATCTTTTGGCATTGCAACCTTTTTGGAGGCGTCATTTTTTAAGTCTCCACTTTGTGGTGGTGTTATAAACCCAGCATCGACTGGCCTCGCATAGCAGCTTGTGTGTGCGTTGGCACATGGTTTCGGGGTGTGTGCTCTGGTGCACATCCTTACTCCATAGCTAGTTGTCTATGTAAAACTTTGCTGTAACCTTTGCTTTTTTTCCCTGATATTCGGATGACCTTCTTCGGTTATCTTGGCAAAAAATATTGTCCAGAAACAGAAGTCCCAGATATCAATCAACGACTCAAAATAATAGATGATGAGACTATCTTTAGCTCAAAGGGACAAGTTATTTATTAAAGACTGGTGTTTCTTCTCTATTTTCTATTCTTTTAAGTAAACTGTATATCAGTCTACTTATTATTAACAATATTTCACCTTAAATCACCTCTCAAGAAAAGAAAGTTTTTACTTTGGGATAGGTATAATTGTCTTTTATTGCACCTTGGATCACCTCCTCTCCATCTCCCACTATTTTCTCTTCCCATGATCTAGGAACATATCAGCCACTTCTTCCACTAGGCTATCTAGCCCTAGCCAGTTGCAACCTTCCTCCATAAATCTTGTCTCGCAACCACTGGAGTGGATGGCGGCTGGCTCATGAGGAAGGCGGGATAGGGCTTGGTTTAGCCTCTGGAAGGAGATGCTGATTTAAGGCTGTCAACGACAACACCATGGACCACTAGCGCAATCTCTCATCTCGTCTCCACTTATAGGTTGGCCCTCGGTTCGCCACATCGTAGCGAAGGATCGCATTCAAGTGGTGGTGGTGTATGGCGGCGACAACTGTGCTAGATAGCTCCATGGCAATGCCAAGCTATCTAATGGTGTCGGCACGCTAGGAAGTGGCGGTGAGCGCGCGGGGATGCAAAAAATGGTGACACGACATCGTGATGCCAAGTGGAGGTGGCCCAATGCCGCCGCGCGCTAGGAGGCAGTGGTTGAGTGTGTGGAGATATGATCTAGGGTTTGGCATGGTGGTCCACGTCGACTCAAATGATAGTGGCAACATGGTTCCCTGCTACAGTATGGAGGCAGGAGAGCTGTAGTGGCTTGATTTGGATCCGACCGGGCATGGTCCAAAGGACATGACAACGGGGGTGATCGTGGCAGCTGATAAGCCATCGTTGCCGCCATGGGCCACTTGAGCACAGACATCGGTGATGTCTATGGGCGCCACAAACCTTCATGGAGGCAATGTCCCCCTTCTTAACCCGTGTCTTGCTACGATGGCGGCGACGACTCGGCGAGGCAGGCGGGCGCAGTGGCTCAATCTGGATCTGGTCGGGCATTGTCCATAGGGTGCAACAACAGCGGTGATGGAAGTGGCTGATATGCCATTGTTGCCATCGTGAACCGCTTGAGCACAGACATTAGTAACACCTGTGGATACCACAAACCTTCATGTAAGCGATGTTCCCCTTCTTTACCCGTGTCTTTGGTGGACTCTCCAAGTAAAATTGCCGGTGGACGTCACAAACCTTCGTGGAGACTTTCCGTGTCTCAGGTGGACTTTCTGAGTGAAGAAGTTCCTATTGGAGTATTGTTGCCTTTTTGTGTGTGCTGCTGCTGCCATCGACCTGCTGCTGCTAGCTTAGCTTGCTGGCCGGCTGGCCTGCTCTTGCGTGTATACATGCTAGCTAGCTTGGCCCATAGAACCATATCAGCCCACTCTCAATTATCCCTCTTTCTCGTTGAAACGGGACAAGCCCAACACAAACCGGCCAACCAGCCCATCTAATTCCCGTTCTTCTCTCTCTCATTCCTCAAAGGGACCACCTATACATTTGTCGACAGATTTTCTACTAAAAATTTGACAGATGTAATTATAATATAATCGTAGTGTAATTACACTGTAACTTGTATGTAATTACACTGTAACTTGCATGTAACTACAGTGTAACTTGTATGTAAGTTTCACGTAATTTTGAATCGTTAGATCTATTACAAGATTTGTTCTGGTGAGAAAGAAAAAAATCACAGTTATACTCTCCGATGTTACATTCCTCTTTGGACGTCAATCAATACAAGGATCTGTCATAGATTTCAAATATTCTGATTTGAGAAAGATATGCTAGGACTAAATAGGGTGAATAGCTAATTTAGTCCCTCAAATTTCAGCGAAGGCTCAATTTGGTTCTTCACATTTCATTTTGTCCACATAGGTCCTTCAAATATTTGTTTTGGCTTGAAATCATCCTTGGGTCCACTTAATATGCCATATGGCTATTTCTAGTCAATATTTCTATTAGAAAATGTCCTTTTTGCCCTTAATTTGTATACATCTATATACTAGAAAAGAGAAATACAACATGAATAAACAACATTACAGATGTACTTCCCATTATTTCAACATGTGCACATGAAACTTAAGCAATTGCTATCGTATACACTTGTTAGTACATAATTTTTTTTCGTTTTATATAATATACTATGTATTATCTATAAAAAATTCAAGCATGCAATTTTTCTCTTGTATATGTGAATGATGAGGGGTATAAGTGTCATTTATGAAGAGAGTTGTTGGTTCAAGGATAAGTTTGAACTAAAATGAAAACTTGAAGGACTAATATGGGATAGATTGAAACATCAAGGACTAAACTGAGCCTTAAATGAAACTTGGAGGACCACTTTAGCTATTCACCCGACTAAATATATACAACTTGTAAGTAGTTGGAAGAAACAACGATTATGCATACTTTGACCAACCATATATGGAAATCTCTATCTTTAAGTTGGTATACGTAGACTAAGACGTTTTCTTATTTTTAATCAAACAGTAATTTTGTAAGTCACATTTACCCATCTTGGGGCCTGTTTACTTTGATGCCAAAAAAACCTTACCAAATTTTAGTATTGCCGAAATTTTGGTAACTGTGCTAAAATTTTGACAGGATTTCCTATATGGTTACCAAAATTTGGCAGCAAACTAAATGTAGCCACTTTTTTGGTAACTTTACCAAAATTTGGTAAGGTTGAAAATGGCATGAAAATGAGCAGGTCCTTGCATTTTTTTTAATAATTGGCTTGAAACTTCTCGAAGTAAATGTCGAAATGAATTGGATTATATATAAAAAAAATACTTTGGCTAACGTCCACATCGATCATCGGCATGTTACCGGCAAGTGATCCGTTGGCAGCATCCCAACCCATCTCAACTTCTCAAGAAGGTGCACAACCCATCCCAGTGGAGACTGATAGGATCTGCTCTTCTTGCTCTGTCAGCAACCTACCTCTACGAAGGTTTAGTTCCTGAGCTCCTCGATGCTTCCAGGCCAACACCCGTGCTCCATCCATGGTGATATATATAGTGGGACCAAGCTTGAGTAACCGGAGTTAGCGTTGTAAGGAGAAAGGAATGGAGAAGAAGGGGTGGCCGGCCGCCGGTTGCCCAAATTACAAAGGAAGGTAACCTTAGCTAGCCCAAAATGAAACCTTGGTTGAAGGGGGTAGTGTAAGATGATACTTTGGTAATAATAGGTAGATCAATGTGTAATTTATTTTTTTAAAAAAATATATTTATTTTCAGCGTTTGCATTAGCCTTGAAATCCCATGGTCCTCACACTTTGTGAACTCCCTTTATTTCTTAAATAGTTAATATACCAAAGTCTACATTAAAAGGATACATATTTGGATGTATGTCTAGGTTGGAATGCATAGTGGATGGATACCAATAGTGGTTGAAAGTTGTCAATAGTGGTTGAAGTTTGGTTCTTATATTTGAGGCATGAATACTAATTTCAATTTTTTGTTCTTTAGTTTTTCTATTATACTAGCTAAATGCTCGTATGTTGCAAAGGAGTTTTAAAGAGAACCTCATCTTTCTAAAATCATTCCCCAATGTCTAATCACAAGACTATTAAATTTTCGTATGGATTTCTTTTTGTTACTTTCATAGCCTGGTTCTCTTTATTTAATTGCTAAAAAGACAATTAAAATATTATAAAAATATCAAAGTTTAACAATTTAAAGTCATGCCAAACCGGTAGTTAATTAAATATAGATTGATTATTCTAATGAGAAAAATGGACATAGATCAATGTAGACTTTGTTACCAGCTAATTCAAACAAATTTCTCTTCATTTTGTCCTTCATTTGAAAGCCATTCACTTTATATAAAAAAATATCCTTCACTGTACATGGATCTCACATGGTAGTGGGTAGGCAGTGGTTCCATATGGCTGAACCACCACCATCATTATTATCTTTTTATAGTAGTACAAATATAATGTCAATATAATTTATCGACAATTAACATTATTTTGCAAGTTCATTTATGTCACTTAGAGGATTAATGGCTATTTACAAAGTATATTTTACAAGTAAAGGGGGCCATAGTGCTGAGTTCGCCTAAAGCGCTTAAAGCCTGGAACTGGTGTAGATGGTCATGTGCACAAAAAGCCCAACAACGCTTAGTTTTTGCATGTTAGCCTTTTTTTTTCCTAATCAAAATTGAAATTTAATTTCAACTTAAATTTTGCCACGGAAAATGGCGAAATCACTAATTATTTGCCTGAATTTTTGTTCTGGGAGGTCTTCGAGGAAAAATCCAAAACCAAATCTGGAACTTTAGGATTCACCCCCGAAACAAATAAGCAAAATGCAAAACTCTGATTGACATGTGAGACAATCAAACGTCCAATCATAAAAGGACTAATATAATATAATACTCTGATTTCACCCGTCTGTATTTTTAAGTTGGCACGGGTATTAAGAAAGTATGTGAGAATGATTGGAGAAGATGTGTGATTGGTAGAAAAGAGAAAGTATGTGAGGAGAATGGTTGTGATTGGTTGAGATGAGGAAGTAGGTAGAAAAATAGCTTCATTTTGAGACAAGGTACTGTAGTAGAAATAGCTATATTCACATGTAATATTTTTACTCCTCACAATTTTTTTTATTATTTCAACTTGATATATATGACAGATATGATAAAGACATGGATTAGGTAGTGATGCAATTCACGAGAAGTTCCAGGGCAATCGACATGTACTGAGTAGCGGTCGCGCAGCCAGCAATCACCTTCTTCCCCACGGGCGACGAGGCGGGGCGGCCATGGCTTCCTTCCTCGTTAAACCAGTCCGTGCATGACACGCCACTATCCATCGCGGAGGTAAGCCACACATTCGCTCTCAACTTATCCGAGGCACGCTGCTCCTCGCTTCCTCTGCCGGACACGAGGAAGTCGATCCTAGCCAACGTCTCGTCGGCGAACATGTAAGTCGCGTCGAAGTCCCGCACACAGTCGGACAGCAGCATCACAAGCATGCGGCGCTCGGCGCCCACGTCGCCGGGGCCGGGCTTCAAGCCGCGGAGCTCGTCGAGGAGGCCCCGGTGTCGCTCGATAGCGATGGCCGCGCTAGCTCGAGCAACTTTTCCTTGGCTGCCATTGAAGGAGCTGGCGTACGGGAGGAGAATGTCGAAGCAGAGTTCCGGTAGTTCTGACTTCGAAGTGCAGGTCGCACGGAGGAACTCCTTTGCCGCGGCGGAGGAGGCCGGCGATAGAGCCGGTGCCGAAGATGGTGGTAGGTTGTTCGTAGCTAAGACGGTGGTTGTTGTGAAAGTGGCTAGGACAAGGAGGACGAGGAAGGAGAGTGCAAGCGATGGTGATGATGCCATTGTGAATATGGAAGATACTACCTTGGTTGAAACGAATTGTCCTAGGTCCATTGATCGATATGCTTGTATATGCACTACTATATTATATAATTATGTGTAGTGATGATACTCGCATTATTTATTGGGGAAGATTTGATGAGTTGATTGATTGATTCATTCAATGCGTTGATTTGCTGCCAGCAGATAAGTGCCACTATGCATTAATTCATTTCACAGCATTAATTGATTTGTTGGCAAGAGTTATTGCCAGGTGTTATTGTACATTGCCAGTTGTAGGTAGCTGGTAGTATTACTCATTGTATTAATTGAAAATTCCCTATATATTCTTGAAAGTTCACCTAATCATTTCTATGCCCCTGAATTTTGTTCATTATCTTACATGCCCATTAATTTTAGTTTGGATCTTTTCCATGCCCTTTCCGCTAGTTGACTGTTAAATTCTTATGAAAAAGTCCGTTTTGCCCTTTGCTATAAAGAAACATAATAAACTAATGGAGTACATTGTTGGGTGGGACTATTACATTTATGAGTTTGTTATGCACCATATTATTTGTAACAAATTTACTTTTAGATATGATATAAATAGTTAATACTTATTTATTAGTTAATAAAAGTTTTTTTATATAGCATGTGTTTTTGATAGTAATACAACAGATTTGTTGTATAAGACAAATATATTTATATGCCACATAAACAACTTTTAATAACTAATAAATAAGTATTAATTTTTATGTCATATATAAAAGTATATTCACCGCAAATAATATGGTGCATAATTAACACATAAATATAATAGTCCCATCTAACAAATTTCTACGCTCCAGCGATACACTCTATTAATAATTTATATGTTTCTTCATAGGAAAGGGCAAAATAGGTTTTTTCGTAAGAATTTAACGGTCAACTAGCGGAAAGGGCACGGAAGATATCCAAACTAAAATTCATAGGTATGTAAGGGAATGAGCAAAATTCAAGGGCGTAGAAGGGATTAGATAAACTTTCAGGGGTACACAGAGAATTTTCTCTTCTATCTACCTCTATTTGCCCAGGCTTATGAGGAATATCTTCAGTTGGAAAATGAGTTTTCCCACCTTCATTTACAATTCACATTTGGTGATAGATAGAGTTTCATCTAGAACACATAATTGTATACTACCAAAAGATTTTATGAGCTCAATTTTCAGTCTCTCCAACCTCTAAGACCTTATAAGATTATATAAGATTTTATAACCTGCTAGGGAGCCCACCAAGCAGGACGGCCCATGAAGGCCATTCGCCTCTTATGGGCCGGGCCAGGGGCCCAAAGTTAGAATGGACATTATATGCCCTTCTTAATGTCCCTATCATAAGGGTATCCATATAAATTACCCTGAACATATTAAACCCTAGAGGGTATGAGCCTGTACTGAGAGCATAAATAGCCCCCTAGGGGCATGTAGTGGGGGATTCCCAAAAAATTTTATGAACTAATGCATTACTTAATGTTCAATCACTCCACTGAGAGAACCATGTCCTTCGACGTGAAGCTTTTGTCATTTCGACAACAGCTGGCGCCGGCCATAGGGAACCCAGGGCGAAGCCACTGATGCCACCGAAGAAAACAATTAAAGAGAGAGTTGTGCCTAAGAGGAAAGAAGGCGAAGGCGAAGCGGATATGGCAGGCGAAGAGCCCGCACGAGCCGAAGCAGGAGCGGAGCTGCAAGAAGGCACAGGCGGTAGAGAGCAAGCAGCAGCTTCGACCATCCAAGTCCGAACCACCCAAGCTTCGACTCAGGCGACGGCCTCCATCGTCCCTAGCATAGCTCAGGCGACGACCTCCATCGTCCCCGGCACGGCTCAAGCGATTGCCGAGGCTGAAGCAACGGCAACGCAAGGGGCCGAGATGGAAGCCATGCATCAGAACATGATACGGCTACAGGACACACTTAGTCAGATGCAAGAGCAACATCAAGTCTATGAGGCAGCCCTGCAAGCCAAGACAACCCTTTCGACTTCGGCGAGTCCCAATCCATCTTCAACACCCGCAACGGCGGCACAAGCGATTCAAGCTTCGACCGCGATAGCCCAAGCCAATCAGGCTTCGACTCCTCTGCTGCTCCTCTTCTGTAAATTCTACTTCTTCGTAAATAAACCTATATTATTATAAAAGTTATACTGCTCGGCAAATGCCAGAAAGTAATTCACCTAGAAAAAATGCTACTCTTGCTCATGACTATGTTAGACCTCATCATCAATATGCTTCATATGATCAATTCAACAGATTGTATATTTGTCTAATACACAATTAATGTGGTAACTAACATGATATTCCAATCTCGTTGTTAGTAAACTCCACATATGGACCAACCCGAATAGCAGCTCTACAAGCTGAGCTACTGTCCATCCTATGTGGTACAAAACAATAGAGTAAGGACAAAATCCAAATAAACTACCCTTCAAATGCAAGCCATGCCACTAAAAATTCCAGTACACCGGGACCCATATAGTTGGAAGAACACAAACACTTCTCCGTCAGGAACCCATGACATATCTATCAGTGTTGCTAGAACTTGAGTGCTCAACAGACGGACTGCCGCTTTTTTTCTTCACTACTAACGTGTTCCCCGTCGATGCCACGTAACTTCACAGCTCCATCGATGCCACATCTGCTACTTCACTGCTCTGTTCCTTCTTCTGCCACTCCACACCGTTGGTCGTCTCGCCACCACTGCTATTGCTAGAGGGTTTTGGAGTGGGGGATTTGGGGTTAGGACAGTGTGTGGATTTGAACCAGTCCCAAACAAATACATGATGAACATGAGGGGTATTTTTGTCCTTTTGGCGCATTCATATCTCCATTCAGCAATGAAATGATAAAATAATGGTTGTGGTGCCCTCCAGCATATTACCAGATTTTTTGTGTCCTATAGTCATGTCACACTTTTACAGAATCCGATAGCAAATACCACAAACTTTGAGTGTCTAGCAAATTTTGCTAAACCAAAAAAGAAAGGTTGATTAGGCATAATCAACCTTACATGTCAAAATATAACATTGTTGATGAAACATCTGGATAAGTTCTACGATAAGAAGAACCTACCTTGGGTGGGCATGAATTGGATAAATATTATCAAGATACAAGCCTTCCACCACATGCTCATAACTGGAAAGGTTTGGAATGATATTTTTATATTGATACCCCTATTCAAAGCTGTCTCTGAAATTCAATTTGGGAGGGGGATACAACTTTATTTTTGGAAGATCAGTGCAACCGCAAGATCATGAAATCGCCCTTTCCCACCTTGTTCTCTTTTGTTAGAATGAAAGATATGTTAGTGATGTAATTCTAGCAGCAAGATAACATAGAGCAGCAATTTCATCTCCGTCTTTCTGTAAAAGCAATGCAAGAAATATAGTCATTCCTCGATATTAACAGGTATGTCCCTGGCACATCCAAGATGAGCAACTGCACATGGATTCAAAATTGTATGTTTCAATCTATGGCAATGTATTATGATATGTTTAAGATCTCGTCACTACATTTGTTAACTTCTCTCTTTCTGCTCCACTGATTCGGCTAGAACAAGATTTATTTTCTCGACTCCGACAAGTGTTCAATGATAATCATCACTGGCTTAAAGAATTGTACTTCATGATGATGATGTGAATGTGCGTTCCAAGCAAAAAGGATTCCATTTGTTCACTTAGTAGAAAAAAAACTGAATTGGGTTACCGGCAAGGCCAGTTGGAAAGTATGTATTAGATTGCTAGGGCTACTAGGGATTAGAGGAATAGCTACTAAAAGGCAATTTTGTTATGATACCACCTCTAGGGATAAGAGGAATAGCTACTAAAAGGCAATTTTGTTATGATACCACCTCTAGGGATAAGAGGAATAGCTACTAAAAGGCAATTTTGTTATGATGGTATAGCAACCACCACCTATACGCATTGTTCTTCTACTTAGTTATATCACCACTGCATATATAGGTGGGTAGGGTTCTTTGCCATAGCTTTAGTTGTCATTGGATACAAACAACACATTCTCGTTTGATAGCGGAACATAGCTAAAGATAAAAGCATTAGATTGATGCTAGCTATTTAGACGTGGTTGGAGGGTCATTGGCTACGACGCAGTTCAAGAAGTAGTAATAGTAGAGACCCATCCGAATGTATTGTAAACTATTTTCCATCGAGTGTAAAGTAGGTATAGCCCCGGTCTACTTTGCAATTTATTTATTACTCCCTCTATCCCAAATTATAAGGCATATTTTTTTTACACGGCCTTCAATAACATAATTGGACCATTAATTTATTTCATGTTATATTCCCAACGAATATGAAATTAGCATCACATGAAAGTACTTTAAAATATGAATCTAGTGGTATAACATGTATAATGCTTAGCATACATATTGTTACTATGATTATTAGTGAAAGATATTGAGTTTGATTTTCCTAAAAATAAGGGCGCCCTATCACTTGGGATAGAGGGAGTAGTATTTTTTTTAAAAAAATATGAGGCCACATTTTATATTAGCAATGACCCAATGATTCATACAGACGACCATGAATATATTTTAGTATATATACTATTGATTCATAGGACGTGTATGAATGCAGTGCCCGTGCCTGTGATCCAATCACTCCCATAGATGAAGTTATCAATTGTAAAATGTCATGCCTTAGTGACACTAATTATTCCATCATAGCCCTGCCATTTCACCCAACTACTCATGTCGGCGTCCGCTTCGTGGTTATTATACTCAACATAATACGTTGTGCTGAGGCCAATTGATCCATTCCTTGGTAGATACTCGAGTGGGTTTATAATGCCATCCAGTTAGTTATCCACAAACATCACATGCAAGTATGTTTTCCAAGGATGACCGAGCGATGTCTTTGTGCAAGTGTTGCCAAGGCACATATCACCTATCAAAGTGCAAAACTGAAAGATAAATCTAGACTTCTTAGTTGCATCACTCCTTCCTTGAATTGCGATGATATTTTGCTACCCACGAAGAAAACGATGTGCAAACAAAGAGAGAAGTTTTGTAACACAGCAACTGCATCACCGACAATGAAGTTAATGGTTACAGAGATTCCTATGTTCCCTCTAGAGAACACTGGTACACAATGGAATGGTCTGATACTAACCGGAGTGCCATCGCCTGATGCTTGGCGGCACCTGCAGTGTTCTAGACTATTAGTACCGATATCATCACGCAGTAGTTTTAGTTGGTTGTAGGACGGATGTAAAGTATACCGAGCGCTGAGTGGCGATCTTGCCCCCACCCAACCCCTTCCTAGACCTAAGAAAAAAAATCATTAGTTTGACATAGGGGGCCATGGCCCCCTATCATCTTTTATACACTTAGTTCACTCGATCAGTAGACCCTACTTATTTTACTTCTTGCTTTCGCACTTGAGATATATCCCAGTAGACACGATTAACGAGGATTGGTGTACCTTGCAGCCAGGCCCGGCTCTGGGGCAGGGCAAAGAGGGCGACGGCCTAGGGCCCGTCCTGGCTAGGGGCCCATGCCTAAATATGTATGAGTACTGTATAAGCCAAAGTGGTATTTAAGATTAGTGAATAATTCCTTATTATCTACTACTTCTGGTTATATACATGATACTGATTAGTGAATTAATAAAGATTATATATTCAACAATCAAAATTGTATGTATAGATAGATTCTTGTTGCCTTTATAATTTTAGGTGCTGAAAAGTTGTAATTTTACTCAAGAAGCATTTTTATGGTGCTAAGTAACTGGAAAAATAAACAAGATCAGTTTAAGTGTTGATATTTTTCTATTTCTAATAATATATATATGAAATGTTATCAATGTTCATTTCTCTGTATGATTAGATTTGAAAATACACTTTGAAAATGAAGGGGTTGTTCAGATTGTAGCCAAAATAAATCTTATCAAATTTTGGCATAATTTAGCAATATTGCCAAGTTTTGGCAGGATTTTTTATGTATTTACTAAAGTTTGGTATAAACCAAATGAATGCACGTCTTTTATAACTTTACCAAAAATTGATATTGTTTGAAATGACATCAATCTGAACAACCCTAAAAATTGTGAATATACATATAACACGTTTCTCTGTAGGGGAGAGAGGATTAAGGGTCATGTTTTCAAGTTTGCCCTAGGGCCCTCAAGATTGTAGAGCCGGCCCTGCTTGCAGCGTTGTTCTGTGGAGTCACCATGACCACTCCACCTGTTGTCGTGTAGTTTCCAGTTTCGTCCTTAGCAACCACTGCGTTGATGAAAAGACCATCCTGTAGGGATTAAATCAGTTCGGATAGCTTCCAACATCCAGATGCAATTTCAGAAATAGATAGTCTCGGACGTAATTTTTAGATTGTACTGGATACTAAAACGAATATGTACTGGATACTAAAACGAATATGGTAAGACTAGTATCCGGCAGAAATAAAAAACTGTCGAAAACCTATCCAGAGTTTTTTTTTCGGATATCCACATGTAGATATCAATTCCTACAAAAAAAATGTATGTATACATAACTTTATCAAAGTCAAATGAAATAAACTTTGTAGTTGACAACTTTATCATTTGAGATCATTTATGGGTCTAAAAAATCATTACAAAAATCTCATATCTAATTTTACAAAATCTCTGACATATTATTCAGACGACCTCTGATGGATACGTGCTCTATATTAAAGTTGTAGAGCTTGACGGGATGTACTACTTTGTAATTTATGATATTTTTATTTGAAATTATTTGAACCACATAAAAACATTATAAGTTTTGAAGAAAAAAAATGAGTACCATTTACAATCAAGATAAGCTTGATAAGTGAGAGGTAAGTATGCCATGCATGAAGGAATCTTGGGTTCAATTAAGGCAAAAGGAAGTAAAAATCATTTTCATGTGGGGTATCATAGGTAAACCATTGTGGAACCACTTATGAAAATTAATGATATAAAATTATTAAATGTTATATCTCTTTTGTTCATTCAGGAAGCTTAGTTTGAGGGAGATTTATATTCTAACAAGTATTTGTTACCAATGTTATATCTCATTTGTTGATCAGGATGCTCAGATTGAATTGATTTTATATTTTGACAAATATTCATTATCGAATTCGTCCTGTTTTATATTCACTTTGTATCTTTATTTGATAATATCCTATTGCCTTTTTTTTATTCGGGGTTTTCGATTCAAAAAAAATGAAAAAGAATATGGTAGAGATATATAATTTTCGTCTGTTTCCAATCCATTTTCATCCCTACCACCCTGTAGTATGGAAGATGATGAATGGACAATTAACATGATTTGTGATGGGACTGTGGCGGGATAAACTTTTGTGCAAGAGTGAAGTACATGGACGGTCTCTAAACTTGTGCCGGTGTGTCATTTAGGTCCCTGAACCCCTAAAATACATTTTTAGGTCTCCGAACTTTGCATGTGTATCATATAGGTCCAAACGGGTTCTAACCCACTCCATGCGCTGATGTGGCAATGCCACGGTAACGCCTACGTGTTAGTGGAATCCACATGTCAAGCATATATAAAAATTAAAATTAAAAACTATATTTTGTCCTTTTAGGTAGACAGGAAAAAAAAGGATAAATAGTCTAAGGTAGAGAGGAGAAAATATGTTTTTCTAATTATATTTTTTTATATGTGACTGACACGAAGGTCCAACTAACACGTATGCGCTACCGTGGCATGCCACATCAGCATATGGAAGGGATTTGAGCTCGTTTGGACCTACATGACATCCAAAACAAGTTTGAGGACCCCAAAATGCATTTTGAGAGTTTAGGGACCTAGATGACATACCCGCACAAGTTTAGAGACCGGTCGTGCACTTCACTCTTTGTGCAAAGAAAAATAGACCAAGACTTATTGTGCTATTTTAATTTGACTGATATGATGGAGAGCATTGGCTATTCCACGATGGATTTCCTATATTTCCTAAATATGTTTTTCTAAGAATTTCTATGTTTTATTAGAGCGCCACATGGCAGCATATGAGCGTTTGTAGGACGCCACATGTCATCTTGGCTGTGTTCGGATTCAACGGATGGGAACTAATCACTCCCGCACGGAAAACAGAGCGGTCTATGAGCGTATGATTAATTAAGTATTAGCTATTTTTTTTAAAAAAAGATTAATTTAATTTTTTAAAGCAACTTTCGTATAGAAACTTTTTTTAAAAAAAACGTACCGTTTACTAGTTTGAAAAGCGTGTGCGCGGAAAACGAGTGAGAGGGGTTAAGAACCTGGGATTGCAAACACGGTCTTTAGGAGTGCTTGTGGGAAGTATGATGGAGTTTTAATAGATAATAAAAGATGTAGATAGACGATGGAAACACCAGCCTCCCCTCAAAATTCTACTGAAAGGACATTTGCTTGCTGAAAAGCAGCGCCGGACAGCCTTTTATCTTAAAAACTTCAGATCATTGTGAAGTTGAAAACTACTAAAATACACAAGTACATTAAATTAGTTTAAGAAATTACAATTTTAAACTCGGGAGTAATCTTTTAAGTAAATTTAAATAAACATTAATGCAAAACCGGATCCTATAGTTGCCGATTTAACTATTCTAATTTGGGTTTGTCTCCTAAATTCATGAACTTTGGTTTGTTCCAAAAATTGAGCATATGGCTACAGTAAGAAATTAAGTCCAATTTAAATTCGAATATCTGGCATAAATTACATGTACGCTGATCCTCCCATTTGGTCGTGAACATATCAGCCTCTACTGATAAATACTACACCTATATGGTACAGGAGTCCAATTATTTTCTTCCAAACACTTATTACAACCCCAAGCCCTATAAGCAAGCGACTTCATACAAATTACACGTATTAACAATTTAACATGCTCCAGAATAACACATTTAGCAAGAGAAATACAAACTAAAAAATCAATCATGTTGCACGGTACGTATAACTACGTGACACTGCTTTGTCATTCCATCATTCTTCTATCACAATATAGTCTAATAGAGCTCATATACAAAGAAAAGAATCAACAGATACAAAATACAACTTTAGGCGTTCATACTTTCCTTTGCAAGATTCCAAAAAACATTTGTATTTTTGTTCTTCAATGGTCAACCAAACACCAGTGTAATACATGGTATTCCCATCTTCACGTATTTAGTGGTACAAATCAAGGATGTAACAAGGTACAGACAATACGCTGCTATTTCCCAGTTGTAACTCCAACTACAACATTGCTAACCTGTGAAAGTGAAAAGTAAAAAGTTAGTAAAGCAAGCCAAAAGGAAGTTAAGCTATGAATACCGCTCAGTTTATTAGATTGAGACCAAAAGAAGGGCTTACCAGTTTACCCTTTTCATCAACAGTCATAGGGTTCTCGACAACAACGGTTACATTCTGGGGTCGAGATGTGGGCTGCCAGAAGGTAAAAATAGAATGAGATAAATAATTCTTAACATCTCAAGAACGATTTGTTACATAAAAATGCAGGGGTGACATACAGCTGAAGTTGGTGGGGGGGCATTATATGAAGATCCACTTGGGGGGGCATTATATGAAGATCCACTTGATGTAGGCATTGGAGATGGCGTGGGTGCCACAGTATTCATCTAAGATTGAGACCAGACAGTTAAAAATCAGGACATTTTATAATAGAGCATGAACTGTGCTTGCAGAAATATAGTCTAGAACGAGGCTATGCCTATACATACTCCGGTGTTTGTGATATAATGGCATATGGCACATTTGACAGAAGGTGCGCCATATGGATACATCAAAGTCGTCCGGCACTGGCCACAGCTCACATGTGCTATATTATTCACTGCATTGTGAACAAACATGAAACGATTACTAGAGTGTAGCAGTATTTACCACAAAAGGTGGTTACTAGCTATAGCCTGATAAGGAAAGTGTAAAACAAGAATATTTCAATTCAAGAAATACTATCATATTATCATCGTTACAGGTCACTGGAAGGAGTACACCTTGGCAAACATTACAAATATTGTTTTTTATGAAAACATTAGTAAATATTTAACACAAAGATAGTAACAAACAAACTATTATCAGATAATAAAACAAGTAAACTATATTTCAATCCAAGAATATCAGCTCATAATGTATACTGAAGAGTCAGCTATCTATCAACTATCATACAGAAAATTTGTTCCCAAGGAAATCGCATTAGATATTGTTATGTTATGCATTGAGCAATTCATGAAAATGTAACTCGAAGCTTTTGGGGAAGAAGTGGGAACCAATTATACTTTTATAGTATGATCTAGGCTGACAATGTTGAGTTGTTTACTCTCAACAGAACATCCAACTACATTAATTTATTTCACTAACATGATATTCAGGTATTGAATTTAAAAACTTTGGGCATCCAACTACAAATTGGTTCTTTTTTATGTTCCATACAAATTATTTCAAATCTGATTGAAAGAAACTTAGATAAAATTATCTCACATTTCTGCTTCTATTAATCTCATTTCTACAGCAAAACATTTTTCCTTTGTTTTATAGCACAAAATTATATCAAATCTGATAAGCAAGAAATGCATTCGTATGTCAAGTTGCCAACACTTTATCGGTGACGATTTATGGCTATTTTGGTTAAACAGTAAGCTCCATGAACAACTAAATTGAACAGGAATTAAATGTAGATCGTTACATTGAACTCAAAACAAACAGGTTCAGAGAGTCTATATTATGTTGATTGCAATGTGGAAATACTACCATTCAAGTAGAGTGCTGGTTTTGCAATACTCAGTTCCATTTAGGCAAACCAACTGATTCACATCTATAGTTTGGTACATGATTCAAATATTTACCAACAATATAACCAAAAAAATCATGTTTCTCAGACAAGATAAAATGCAACAGTCAGAACCATTAAATTAATCTCAATCAGAAAAACAGGATAGAAAGAAGTAAAGTAGTAGTACCTGGTCTAACAAGATTGACTGTACTGCAACATGAACATCTCACAGTGTCCGCATTGCGAGTATACATCAGCAATGTTCGGCAACCACCACATATTAGATGAGCCATTTCCATTACTGCATTAGAAAGTTACATAACTTATATAAGTGCATTGACGTATTTATGAATTAGCAAACACTCTGAATCAATTTGCAGCAATTTAACCTCAGAAGAGTACCTCTTTGGGAACTTTCAAAAAGGAGGTAAGAAGGAGAGAGATCATTGGGAATAGAGTTTTAGAAAGCATCAACCTAACCCACTACACTCCCACAGTCCCACTTCTCCCCCTAGCTAATTTATCACCTCTAGTGCTGCGTAGACCTGCCTAAAAAAACACAGAATGCTGTTCTAAAAGCAGATTCATAACTCTCCACTCTCGTACCGTGCGTAATTAGTAATTATGGCGATGGTCACTGCCTGTCACCCAGAAGTGCCCAGTGCCTTGGTAACCAACCATCAATATAACTGGCCCTATGCAGGCCACATGGCTATAGAAGATATGCGTGGTGAAAAAAGATGGAAGACAAACGCAAACAAAATATGATAATTTTTGTACACACACGATCGTATTTGAACACACTTTTTTGGGTGCACATAATAAACTATTTTTGCGCAGATTATTTTGATGGTCTTCTAAATTGTACAAGTCCAAATTCCAAACTGGGTATAACTGAATCGTGTTTAATTGAAACCTTCCCAGATAAGATGGGGCTTAAGAATGAAGCTTCCCACAAGGCAGCAAGAACATTCTCACAGTGTTTAAACCACTTTATAGATTCTTGTGCTTTTTGTACCAAGAAAGAAGGTTGTTATTTTAGGTTCTCTTCTTCAGATAAAAGGCATTGTGGTTGCCTGCCTTGTAAGTTCAGACGAAGAGCAAGAAGGTAACCAAGGGATCAAGTCATGTTGATGTAGAGCATGGTTGGTGAAGAAGTGGAACGACATGCTTATATTTTCTCATAAGCAAACCAGCATGCAGGGTGCAGAGAAATAGCAATGTCTTAAGGATATAGAGATGAAGTGGTTGGAATGTTAGAAATGGCAGATTGTGTAAAAGAACAAAAGACAATATCTAGACAGATGGCACAGCAGAATGGCATGTTTGGGAGTTCACGTAGTTTTGGTGCAAAGAGCATTTATAATCATGGTATTTGTACATGGAAAACCACATAAACAGTAGGATCCTTGTCAATCAGATATCGGAAAACAAAAATCATGTCCGCGTCACTCAGCTGCATGGGATATCTAATCAAGGTTTTATAAATTGGTAAGTGCCTCCAACCTGTAACCGGCCTAAGTAATTTAGCTATAAGAAATTAAAAGGATTAGTATTAATTAGAATTTTGAACATAAAAGTTTCAATGTAAAGTATGCCAAATGGTTATTTCTAAAAGAGAGCTGCAATTCCTAATCCTTATCCTCAAGAATATTTATGCCATGTGCGTACAAAAAAGACACAGACATAGGTAGTAATATTTAATGAGATTAGTACATGATTATACACATGTTAGTTGTTAGATAGACATAGTGACATACTACTACAACTATATGTAGTAATGGCAAATATGGTCCGATTCTATTAATAGTATTAATGTATTATCACTCCTTGGTATACGGAGTAGAGAAATATGAAAATGAGGAAGTTATTTTTTTCCCTCTATATATCTATGTTTCTTGCAAGAGTCAATGACTATATTTAATTGATCAAAACTTTTTTTTTCATTTCAAGCACAAATGGCAGTGCTACATAACATTGAACCATCATACTATTGAAATGAGATGAGCTGGAAAGCCATTGACCAATACAGGAAGCAGATACTAAGACTAGGCTAGCTAAAGCTTGAACAGAAGAGGGGGGGACTTCTTTGACCACACAGACTTGAATGAGAGAGAGGATGAAATTAAACGCTATGAGATGAAAGTATGATTAAACCATTGTGGAGAATCCCATACCTGGGGCAGGGGGCGGCACGGTGGTGATGGCCTGGCAGAGCGCGCAGCACACGCTGGGCGCCCCGCTCGGGTACCGCAGCACGCTCCGGCAGCCATGGCACACGATCTGGCTCTGCATACCTGCAACCCAAACACGAGAAAGTGGGATGAGCCACGAGCAAAGAGTACCCAGTCCACCCCAGCGCGAGCGCCAGCATAACCCACAGCAAATCCGCTCGATCGATCGCCCTCCCGAAGACGAAGAGAAGCTAAGATCGATTCGCACCGATCGATCGATCGATCGACCAATCAGCATGTCACACACCTACCACACCCCTACCCTACCCCTACCCCTACTCCACCAGTAAGCAAAACGCTCGCCCACGCGCGGATCTGAGATCGCGAAGCAACGTAGAGCAACGCGATGCGTCCTTACCCGGCGCAGCAGCAGCAGCAGCAGGAAGGAGACGAGACCACCGCAGCGTAGACCACCCACCCCTCGCCTGCAGTGAGTGGTGGTGGTGGTGGCTCCAGGGAAGGGAAGCGCACCAACTGCGCGGCGATCGACCGAGCACCAGCAACAGGGCGGCGGCTCCTCTCGCCGGCGACGACGACGAGGAGGAGGAATCGCGAGGAGGGTGGGGTTGGGGAGGAGGACGACGAGGCGGCTGGTTTTGGATTGGATTTATTTGGGGGGAGACAGAGACAACGGGGGGAAGGAAGGAAATGGAACAGAGGGGAAAAGGGGAGGAAGGAAGCGACGACGAGGGGGGCCGTGGAAAATACGGTTCGGCACGTGACGTCATGTGTGTACTGCGATTATTAGCAATAAAGCCACACGCGGTTTATCTTTTCCAGCAGCTGTTCCCAATTAGCATACGGGAGTTTTTTTTTTCTGCTTCGTTGTCTTCATCGCTGTCTCCGGTTTATTATTATTACAGAGTAAAAAGTACTTACCATATGGATTACGGGGAATTTAACTATTTGCCGTTTTTATGTTTGTCAATTAACCAAATATCCTTCTTAAGTGTGCACTTACTATTTTGTCATTGGAGAGAGAAGATTTTCTAACTATTTGCCACTTTTAACGCTGTAGACAGCCACATGTGCATGCCAACATGGATTGGACACAGGAAATGACCAATATACCCTTCCCTTTACGAATCTGTTCATATTAAAAAGTGGGGAGAAAAATATAACTCGCATAATATGAGAAAAAAATGACATCTTTGAGCACCTTTCAACATAAAATAAAATGTGACTCAGCCAAGTTCTGGAGTTAAATGGCTGAGAAAAAAAAAAGAAGACGTGAGGAGGGAGCCACTCCATGACCTAAACCACCGGTTGCAAAAACATTTCAAAGAAGTTCAAACAATACTAGCAATTATGATTTTTGACACCTTACAATGATATGAAGGACAAACGCTCACACCAACCAATAAGCAAATGCACATTTTGAATTTAGAATATTCAGTGGGTAAATACAGTAGAACTTTTTGTTTTAATTATTTCTAGCTTAATTTGAATTAAAAGATGGAGAGAACCGGATATGCTTTGCTTGGCTTTATTCTAGACTTCATTGACAAACTCTGAACTGCATAGTGTAATTATTTTTATATAGTCTATTAAATAAAACATAGCACAGAAAGGTCCAAGATGGCCTATATATGTACTGCAAAGGCTAACATTTACAGTGAGAATGATGAGACTGTTTTAGGGCCGTGAAGGTAGGGGTAGATTGGTTATTTAACGCACCCAATTCATGTTAGCATGCTCATGTGACAGTCTACGGTGTTAAAAGTGGCAAATAGTTAGAAAAGCTTCTTTCTCCGGTGGTAAAATAGTAAGTGCAAACCTAAGAAGGGTATTTGGTTAATTGCCAAATGTAAAAGTAGCAAATAGTTAAATTCCCCTATGTATTACGGGTGTGCAACCATTTACTTACCATATCTCTTTTCTTTAAGGGAGAAATAATACTATTGAATTATTGATGTACCCAAGATTCCTAAAGTGTACAGTAATTAGTATTAACATAATAGAAGTGAGTAAACGGGTTGATTCTATTTTTCCTGTTTTTAAATTATTGCTGCTACTATTGATTTTGTTGTTTGAACATTGATCTATGGCAAATTGTAATGATCGATTTTGAAGATTGTAAGACATATGTTTAAATTTATCTCATGGATACTTTCATATTTCATAGTAAATAGAATATTAAGTATGCATACAAATAACTATCACATTTTGTACGATGAAGTTAATACTACCACTTGCCAATTATTCGAAAGGGGTAGGTAGTATGTATTTGGTCCAATTTTACTACTATGAAAATGAGTTATCTTAATATAGGTTAGATGGCAATGTGATGAAGAGGACGGATTAATGCAATGGTGATGACTATGCTAATTATTGGTTTAACGTAATGGTTTAAAGCATATAAACCTTATATGTGAAGATGTTCGATCCAATACAGTCCTCTCTAACTATCCTATACTTTGATAAACATTAAAAAAAACTAAGGGTATATTTAGTTCACGCCAAAATTAAAAGTTTGATTGAAATTGGAACGATGCGACGGAAAAGTTGGAAGTTTGTGTGTGTAGGAAAATTTTGATGTGATAGAAAAGTTGGAAGTTTAGAAAAAAATTGAAACTATACTCGGCCTAAGACGAAAATTTGAAGAACCAAGAAGAATGTGAGAAGAAAAGGTCAAATGAAAAGAAAACCCCGCCGTGCTGGCTTGATAGCTACTTCTACATTTGGCATTGGTATTATCATGAAAATATACGATTTAATAGAGAGAAAAAAACCACATAATTAAACAATTAGGCTTATTGTAAGCTGGGTAAAAAAATGTTTAATCATAAGATGTAGTAATAGTTGGGTGGACTTAGCAGTTAGCACACATTCTCTTGTGGGAAAGGGTTAGGTTGGCATAGATGTAATCCGGTCAAATAATTGAAGCGAGATTTTCTAACTTGACGTTTGTTTCTTGCACGACCAATGAAAACAATGTTTTTCACAATCTAGATGTTTCTTCAAAACTTTTTTTATGAGACAAGCTTAAATAATCATACTGTAAGATAAATCCATTGATAAAAGATTGTGGTCGTAACCTTAGGGTACAAGTAAAGATGCCACATCCTTACTTGTCAACAAAATAATAATAGGTGTTGAATAAAAAAAAGAGTAATAATAGTACTCGTATGCAGAAATAGAAGAGGGAAAGAAAATATTACAAGTGGCTGCAAAGAAAAATGAATAAAAAGTAAGCCTGTAGTACTGATTTGAGGTAGCGGAAAACAAAAACAAAATATGAATTCAAATCAGTCGCTATTTGAGTTTGACCATAGTTAATTTGTTTTCACCCTAGCTAGCCAGGATATGGCATCCAGACACTCCAACAGAATATACCTGGACACAGTCTATTCTTCATCCATTTCCTCAAAAAGGATATACACAGCTCCCTCATCCACCCTAAGAATAGCTAGCACATATGTTGCGCATGAGATTGGCCCAAAACATGTGCGTTTATTTGCACATGCGGTTGTTTTTGTGCACATGATTTTTTGATGGCACACATCTCTCAGTGCATCTATATTTAACAGAACTCTTTAGAACAGTTGTAACGTGCACACAATAGTATTTAGGGTGTGTTCGTCTCTCACTTTATGCATCTTGTATTCACTCGTTTTCCGTGTGCACGCTTCCTGAACAGTTAAACTGAGTGTTCATAAAAAAAATCCTATAGGAAAGTTATTTAAAAAAATCATATTAATCCATTTTAAAAACAAATTAGCTAACACTTAATTAATGCTAATAAATTACTCTGTTTTACGTGCGCGATGAATTAGTTCCCAACTCTACAAGCTGAACACATAATTAGAGTGAGTACAATAAGATGACGTAAGTGGGCTATACATGTTGCCACATCATATTTGTACTTATGCGGAGGAGGGAGGAGAGGAGAGAAAGAAAAAGCGGGCTACAGATTTGCAGTAAGCTGCAACACGAACTCTAATAACCTATGTGAGAGAGAAATGTAGTGAATGCATTAATGGTGTAGTACGTTAGCTATTGTCAAGCAGTGTCCCAGTAATTATTTAAGCCCTAGAAGCCCCTGCCTCCTCTCCATGGAGCAATGTCAAGTAGTGTCCCAGTGATAGACCGGGCGAGAGCCACCTCCAGCTTCCCCAAGCAGAAGCGGAAAGTCCGCTAACTGCCGCCATAGGAGCGCACCCGTGAGGAAGAGAGGCCCCTTCGCTTCCCGATTGAGCCGACTTCCTTAGGTGGCATCGTGAGCTTGCTATCGGTGGAGCCGCCATCGGAGGAGGCCATCACTAGCCGGATCCAAGAGAAAGACATCAGTCGCTGCAGGCGCCCCTCCTTGATACTCCCGTTTTACCTGTTTTAGCCACAAGTTTTAAAACCGTATATTCACCCCTAGTCGGCCTCATTGATCCTACACACCCTGCTCACTTGCGTCGACTACCTTCGCCTCATCCCTAGTTGGCCTCCTTGATCCTACACACCCACTCACTTGCGTCGACTACCTTCGCCTCCCCACCTGCCTCACCCTCTAGTTGGCCTCCCTAATCCTACACACCTTGCTCATTTGCATCAACTACCTTCGCCTCTACACCCGCCCCTCATTGTCTAGGTGGATGGCCCGGTTTAGACACAGCTTGGTAGGAATTTTGACGAGCGACCAAAATCATCTGAAAGTAGACTCCATAAGTTTTCCAACAAGTACTCATAGGCCCCGAGATTCCTTCTAGATCAGCGGATAGGTCCGTCTTAAGTTGATGTTGTAAGGAGGCTTGAATCCGAATCCAAAACGTGCAGAATTTCATCGCTGCCTTCTATGGACCAAAAGTGACGTGGTGAGAGAGGAGTAGACTTGGGGAAGGTCTTGGTTTGGTCCCCAATTAACCTCGTGAGCTCACACTCCCTTCCTTCGTCCACTCAAGTATTTCTGCAAACGAGAAGAGACAAAACTTATGGTGCAGCAATGTTTGTTCAAACATATAATAAGGCCCTGTTTGGTAGGGCTCCGGCTCTTAGATCCATCTTTCCTAGAGTTGGAACCCAACCAAACGGTCCAACTCCACAAAATTATGGAGCGGAGCGGACCGAATTGCTCTAGAAAATTGAACTAGCGATGTGGAGCGGCATTCTGGTCACTCCACAACTCCATCTCTGATTCAATTTCAGAAGTATCCATTGATTTATAGCGAAATTACCCGCAAATGCCATCCAACTACCCCCATCCTTCCCCTCCCCCGTTCCCCACCTGTACCGCTTCACGGACTCGTCACCGACTTCTCGCGACCAAGGGCGCCGCGCGGGAGGAACAAACGACGCGGTGGCGGATCACCAGCGGCGGCTGCGCAGGTTCCTCCCCGTCTTTCCCCCTTCCATCTCTTCCTTCTGCCGTCTCTTCCCTTTCCCGTATCCCCCATCCTGACCTCGTTTTATTGATGCAGGCCTCGGCGGCGGTAGCACGCGGTGGCATAGGCGGCGGCGCATGGGCGGCATAGGGTTGCGGCGCACGGCGGTGGAGGCACAAGGATATGGCAGCGCCAGGCCCCAACACCCCTCAGCACCCCACACGGTATATCCTCCTCGAACCCTAAAAATTTTCCCAACTAATTTTCTGTGGGATAGATTGATTTGGGTTGGGTTAATTACTTGGTATTATGCAATGAACAAGAGTGAAATTACCAGATCTGAAAAACTTGTCATATAGGCATTATGATTTTTGGACTTGGGAAGGTGAAATTATTGTTTGGTGCACGTTAAATTAACGTTTCTTATCAACTAGATCTGGTTTTAAACACATGATTTTGACGTTTTCTTGTAATAAAAATGGCAGCTTAAAAGAATAGAACAGTGGCAGCTGTTGGTTCAGCGGAAGAAGAAAAACATCGGTTTGTTTGCTTTGCATATGGATAAAAGGAGATGCAAACAAAATGGCTGATTGTCCTCTGCCGCAAAGACACTCAATGTGTTACTCTGCAATTTGGAGTATCTGAACATGCAGAAGAAAAATTGAACAGATGGATTTTGTGGCAACTGGAACGGTGGAATTCATGTTGCTCAATGATCAGGACTTCCTTTTTTTGTTTTGTTTTCCAAAGGCCTTGCGTAGTTATTAGTTGGTTTGTATTGATGCTTGTATGAATACGGTTCCCAAGCACTTGCATAGAAAAAGATGTGGCATAATTACCAGTTTACAAGTCCTGTGTGTGATAATCAATTTTTGTTCATTCTTGTATGATTTTATTTTTCTAAAATTTAATCCTAAATCAAGTAAAAAAATGAAGGGTAGTATTGTCTATCTCCACCCTATCCTCTTCTTTAGGATTTCTAGAGCTGACCAAACTAGCCAAACACTTTGAAGACCACCTTCAGCTCCTAGAGGAGCTAGCTCTTACCAGAGTTGGAGTTTAGAGCTAGAATCTAAGAGTTGGAGCCCTACCAAACAGGTCCTAAGTAAACTTAACATAGAACGTATGTACCTTTAGCTTGTTGACGTGTAACATAAGCATGGTGGTGTCCAAGATGGTGATGTCCTCATCAACGGGAACACACGGTCAACAGACAGGTGCCAATCAATCTCTATTTTGGTGAGCAGCGACAACAAAATTTTGAATCATGCACGGTTATTCTTGTGGTGTTTGAAGTCGTGCAACTACACATATGAACTAAATTATAGGGCATGGACATACATATGTATCGTTCTAATCCAAATTGAGAATGGGATGAACTGAGACCCCTTGATTTTCGTTTTAGGGATTTAAACTATTTAATAAATTATTTCTAGAAGTTCAATTAATTTATCAGTGAAGTAAATGTGAGAAATAAAAATTCCCAAACAAAACATGGTAGGATTTAATTTTATTAAGTTCTTCATGATTAATAATACACTCTTAAATTTTCTCAGAATTTTTAAAGCTCATTTGCTAATTTTAACAATACAAACATCGTTTCAGCATTTATTTAAATAAAAATCTAAATAAGACCCCTCTTTTCTCTATGGGCCAATCTCAGCTCATTTCCTTTGTCAAGCCGCAACCGAGCCGGCCCATTTCCGCCCCTTCGCCTCCCCTCAGCCTCGGCCTACAAGCTAGCGTGCATCCAGCCTAGCAAGCAACTGTCTAATCGGCCTCCCCTGCTCGTCCTCTCACTGTCGTTTGGGGCCAACGCTACAGTCATCCCCTACCTCAGTCTGGAGTCCTGCAGCTGCCCGATGCCGCCTCATCCGTGAAATCTAGCCACATCTTTGGAGATAATCCAAAATTGATTGAGGTGTTTCGATCCTTATCTCCCAGGAATTGGAGCAAAACAGTTTTTATCCTTATCTATGTATGTGTTGACGGTCGTTATAGTCCAATTTCGACCGTCAATACATTCAGAAATAAAGGAGAACTAGCAATGCTTACATGTATATTTGTTTAGAAATAATATATTTCCACTTGTACTTGGCAAAGTATTTGTATACAGGAGATCTTCATATAAATGGAGGAGAAACGGTGGAAAATAACCGTTCAAACAATCAAAGCTCGACGTGTGGCAGACTTATGGATGGATGGGCACACAAACCCATTAGAACACCTACAATTGGGCCCAACCACCATGCCACTGAGTTGAGGATCCATCAAGCGAAGTCCAAGAGAAAGGACTGGGCTAGATGGGCCAGCCCATCAGCTCCGTTGATCCTGGCCTTCCACGTGGACGTCCTAGATTGCTTCCTAATGATGGTTGCAGGGTGTTTAGGACATTTCCAACTGCCACAACCATCATATGCAACCTTTAAAAGGACCTCTCCCTCTCCATTTCAACAGACACCAAGGAGGATCAATCAAGAAGCTCTCTAGTTTCTTTACTTTGTTCTAGTGCTAGTGGAGTAGAAATAGAATAGTTTTCTTAGTTCTTTAAGTTTTCCAAAGAATTCAGTTATGGCTAATTCAGTAATGAAATATTCTTCTTCATATAGTTATGGTCCTTTACTTCATTTATATAATTATTCGAGTACCAATTTTAGCTTATACTTGTCTCGTAATAATTATGTAGCTAGCTTACTAAAGATATGCAATGGTATTAGTTTAGTGTTCAATTATTTGATTGTTCTATGTCATCTGCAGAGATGTAGAGTAGTATTTAGTAATGTAAGCATGATGTTTAGATTATTAGATACTATTAAATGGTGCTATATGCTACGGATCTATAAAGGTAGGCCGCTGATAGTGACAGCTCAGTATCTATATAGGGCTAAGAGATTTTTCCTAGTGTGGTTACTCCTCCGTATCTATTACTAGTTGGATAACCATGACGAATTGTCATAAGAAACTGGAAAATCATGGGTGATTTCTCAATATAATAGAAGGGCATAGTTAGGGGTATTTGTTGCATAATTATACAATAGCAAGTGTAGACTGACTAAAATGACTATATATACTGAAGTACAAAAATTCTTTCTCCACTTAACATATATTATTATTTTAGTGAGAGTATTCTGGTTGGTTCTTTTTTTGTGTCAACTTATCATTATCCTTTTATCTAGATTTAATACTTCCACCCATTGACCAATGTACATGACTATCTGCTGGTTGTCCAGAGTAGGCTTGACCAAATCATTCAGTTCTAAATTGAGGTTTGCGTACAACTCTCGCAGCTAATGATGGAATTTGTTTTGTTCTTATGTGGCATCCTTACAGAAATGTTTATTGGTGGTACATTCTACAATCTTCTTATCGATATAATTGTTTTTCTTCTCCATCAAATTCCTGGAAGCTAGCATTGAAGCATTACCAAATGTTGCGCACAATCCCAAAGGAATTCCCGACACAACTTTCCCGCCCTTCTTATTTGTCTAAAGATTCATCAACAAGAATGAACAAAAAAACAATTAGAAACAAAATTCATACTACCGGACTGAATACCGTTGTCATACATCACAAAAGAAACATAGTTCAATTGAAGTCACGAAAATAAAGCATACACAGGCAATTTGCACACATAAACCCTTAGAGTAGCATCACAAAACTGACTGTGATTTAATATGTATGTTAGAAAGCAACTCACGGTACAATCGCACTTTAGAAAACGAAAAACTAATGAGTAAATTGCACCCATGGTTCAATCATGTGCTTCATCAATGGTGGTGACATTGATAATATACTAGGCTTCTCGAAGCAAGTGCCTGCATTTAACTCAAAACTAATCTACGAGCGGCACTGAATGAATACAAAAACAACGAATTACCTTCTTGTTGGGCAAGTATGTCCATGTTGAACATGATGCATCGAGAATCTACCCATGTAAAAATAATAAAAATAATAATAATAATAATAATAATAATAATAATAATAATAATAATAATAATAATAATAATAATAATAATAATAGAATTGATCAGAACAAACGCTTTATTAGAAAAGAATGAACGGAAAGCAACACATGAGTGCATCACCATGTTGGTAGACACAACGCTTGTATATTAAACAAAACAATAGAAAAACATGAGTACGTGTAGACAAACTGAACCAAGTAACTAACACATAGATTTAACATTAGGAAAGTAAGAGTTTATACCTTCTTGTGTGCATATCCAGCTGGTGAACTCGATGCGCGGCGTGAACACCAATCAAATCAGAAACAGGATCTCAAGGAGAGCAAGGTACGGAAAGAAGAGGGGAGCTGGAGGAAGAGAAAAGTATTGGATGGAAACAGATCGAGATCGAACTTATCTTCCTCACGTAGCTGCGCGCAAACCGATCTACCAGCCTAGACAACAGCATAATGGGTGGCAAGTGGTGGCGGCGGCGGCAGTCGACGTGCGCAAGTAAGTAGGGTTGTGGCGCACAAACTGAGCTACTAGCCTGGACAACAGCATAATGGGCAGCGGGTGGTGGCGGTGGCGGCAATCGGCGCGCGCAAGTTAGTAGGGTTGTGGCGGTGGCGTCTTGGGCTGGAGGTCAAAAGCTGTAGAGTTTCGAGTGGGGATCAATTCTAGTGTCTATAAATAGTAATCCTTTATCCCAATTTGATCATCACATAATATTTTGATTGTCTTCCCAAAATGATCATCTTCTAACAAATGTGCCTTTGTTTATTTGTGCAAAGAGTAAATGAGCATCATTAAATGCATTGCATGTAACCAACCAATATTAATTTTTATTGGACCAACTACATGCAATATTTAAAATTTGATGCAATCCACGGAACACGAAACGACGTAGCACGTTAACCGATGAGAATTAATTACATAATGATGAATGTGTTATTGTCCTTTGTCTCTGTGCTCTTTACTTAGGGTGTGTTTAGATGGTGGGTTCTAGGTGGATAGGACATGGCGGTCCCTTTTTTTGTGGGTGTTTGGTTGGTGGGCAGAGGTGGGATAGGGCAGCCCGGAGGGGAATATTCCTCCCAGATGCTGGATGGAGGGATCCGGCCGACTTGCCCGGACGCAGCCGCCCGAGCGCCCGAGCGAGCGGGGCGAGCGACTGTTGACAACCAAATTTGGTAATCCAAGTATCGGAGATGGAGATAAGTCGAAGCAGAATCCAAGATAGAGATCATTCCAGAAACAGAGCGAGAGTCGGTTACGATCAGGATTGGCAGAGTTCGAGTCAGACAAGGTTGGCCGATTAAGCCGATTTCGACAATGTGACTCGATACGCGTCATCGGATTGAGTTAATGTGCTTCATGTGGATTGCCATGCACAGATTGAGTCTTGGGAAGGCAATTGTATCTATTAATTAGGGTATTTTATGTAAAGTCCTTAGAGATAAGTTTGGGCAAAAGTCTGCCACAAAGACTTATGGTATCTTAGAGTTTGTAAGAGATAAGAGTCGTGTCCGATATGGACATATTTTGTAATCTCGGGTATAAATAGACCCTGAGCCCCATGTAATACAACAGCACATGTTCAATAACAATTTCGGCACAACGCCACCCTTTTACTTTCATTTTGTTTCGATGAGTTCTTGCTTTCGGGTTGAGCTGCATCGATTTCGATCTTCAACTAGAGGTAAAACTTGTTATGGCGGCTTGCGTTCTCAGGATTAGTGCTTCCATCTTTATGATATTCTAATCTTGTTTATGTAATTCGTCGAGTTATCATATATTCTATATAATCTCTGACAATATTGTTATTTAACCTCCAATCAGCTAACATCTATCATTGGAAGGAAGTCGATCAGGTTAAGTAGCAACGTTGGCTTAGATTATATAGGGTATTTACCATCCTATGAAACATCCAACGGCTTGATTGTCTAGATATTGTTCTTCTTTTCATACTTATGGCTGCATTAGTTGAGTTTGACCTTATAAGTCATGATTAGAATCTTAATCTCTAGCCTGCTATTTGGTTGCCGATTAGGGTAGTGTCGGGGTTTCAGCCGATCTTACCTGATTTAGCTTTATATTTCATGTGCTTAATTGATATGCTAGATCTGCCCTTTGTGTTAAGATCTTATTACAACAAAATATGTTAGGCTTCTGTTTGATATATTTTGCTTGCATTGTGAAACGGAGGAAGTAGATCTATCTGATCGGCTATGCTATGAACATCTATAATCTCATTGTTAATATATATTTCGATCTAAGTGATTTATATTGTCTCGGCATGGCGACCGATCTATCCCAATCACTTGATTTAAGTATATATCAACATAAGGATTATATATTGTTAATATCTTCAGTCGATTGAGTATATTTAGTTCTTTCTTAGTTATTCATGATTGCCGATCGACTTAAATATGACATCGGCTCGAAGATAAATGATACGTCATCGGCGGTTGGCCGATCGGCTATCATTTATAGATTTAATTGCGGTTTCTTTTTCTTTATTTCTTGTTGATTGCAGGATCAAATCAACTAGCACGCTCACAAACCTAAAGGCAAGATTTTTGGACCTGCACTGGAGTTTTTCGCATCAACAGCGACCGAGGTGGGTCGCGTCACCCCTCACCACGCAAGCGAGCAAGACGACGGCCGGGCGAACGGCGAGCACAACGACGACGCGAGTAAAGCGGCGGCCGGTGTGGACTGTGAGCACGACGGCAAAGCGCGAGAGGCCCCGAGGAGACGAGGTGGCGGCCGATCTGGACCACCGCCGCTTCCCGGGCTCCTCCCCGCCAGGGTCTGGAGGTGGCGGTTCCGGTGAGGCGGCGGCACTGGAGGCGAGCGAGGAGACGGGCCGACGACCGGCGAGCGAGGAGACGTGCAGGCGGAGGGAGGAGACGGGCAGGCGGCGGCACTGGAGGCAAGCGAGGAGGCGCACCGGCCGAGGGAGGAGACGGGATGGCGGCGGCACTGGAGGCGAGCGAGGAGACGGACCGACGAGAGGAGCAAGCCGGCGACCGGCGAGAAGAGGGAGGAGGACTTTTTTTTCCTTTTTCTCGTTTTTCTCCCTTTCCTCTTTTTATTTCTTTGTGATTTTTTATTTCTCTTTATATTTTTTTATTTGTATTAGATTTATAATAATTTTGTGGCTTTTATGAATTTGAAGGGGTATACTCACCACCTCTAATGAAGAGGTGATTGCAACCATTCATCTCTTTTAGCCCTCTAAAAAAAATAGATCACCAAATCCACCTTCATCCCTACAACCAAATAAAAAACTGGATCGCCATATCCAGCAAAATCTGGGCTGCCATATCTCATTCAAGCTTGACCGTTAACGAAACACACCCTCAGCTGATTATAAGGGAGTACGAAGGAATGGCCTATTTGAGGCCCATTTATACAACTGGGCTGAATGTGGCAGCCCACAGCGAGCAAGAAAAGGAAAAGGCCGTTCGCCGTCCGTTGACCGCACGCACCGCACGAATCTCGAGGCGAGCGATTCGTTTCCACTCGCCCCACTCAGACCGCCCGAGCTCGCCGCCGGGAAACCAATGGCCGCCGCCACCGTCGCAGCCTCCTCCCGCTTCGGCCCCGCCCACCTGCTTCCCCGCTCCCGCAGGAAGGGGAGGGCCCCCGCGCCGAGCGCGCGCGCCACGGCCTGCGGAGCCGTCGGGCGAGGCCGCCGGCTGCGCTGCGAGTTCGTGGCCGGCGGCGGGAACGGCGCGCTCTCCGGGGAGGACGACCCGCGCCTCATAGACCGCGTAAGGAAGCTCCCCCGCTTGCTTCGCTAGCTCTCCCCCCTCCCCCTTGCCCTACCCCTTCCCTGCATGACTGGACTGATTCACTGAAGTGTCTTGTGTATTAGAGTTCTTGGATTGTGCATTGTGTCGAATACGTTCTGTGCAATGTTACTGGATTACTGCTGCATGAGTCGTCTCGACTCTCTAGTGTCAAATATATCATGTTCCAAAATAAAGGAAAACCTGATCATGTGGATACACAATCATGGCCCTGATTGATTTGATTCAAACCATGTTTCTAAGAAATACTACTCGTCTTATCTAATTATCATTGGGTGTTTCATTACCATCACTACAATTCAATCATTTTAACTGCTTTAGTTATGTTAAGTTTGACCTTATAGAGGCAGGAATGTAATCGTGGATTCAGGGCCACCAACATGAATAACAATGTGATGGTGAGTGTTGGACACTGCAACCTGAAGGATCTGGTCATGATAAATACTAACTTTCGTGGCCAGTCACAAAACACTGTTCCATATTCAGCTGGGTAGTGGTCGTGGATAGTGTGTACAAAAGTTCGCCAGAATTGCAGTCAGATACATTTTTTTGCTATTTTTCCTTTAGCTTCGTTCTGATGTTTCGTTAGTGATTATATACTTATCTTAAATACAGATTTCATTAAGAGTCGAGAGACACTCTGTCTCAATTTTACATGGTTGAGAGTGTAAAATCTTGTTGCATGACTTCATTTTTTGTGACAAATCTACGAGAAAATCAAAATGTTAAGCTGTTCTTACTGATGCAAGAGAATTGGATATTCCTTTACTTATAAAGACATTCTGTAAAATTTCATCTGCAGCAAAAAGCTCTTGATGCAGCCATGAATGACATAAACAGCTCCTTTGGAAAAGGCAGTGTTACAAGATTAGGAAGCGCGGGTGGTGCCTTTGTGTATGTTTCAAATTTGTTTTGTTCCTTCAATTGAAATTCTTCTATAAATTTCACCTATGCAATTCATACTGATTGTTACTTTGTCTATCCAGTGAGACATTTCCAAGTGGCTGCTTGACACTAGATTTTGCCTTGGGTGGTGGCCTTCCAAAAGGAAGAGTAGTAGAGGTAACTTATTTTATACTTCCATTGATCAATTGGCAACGATAGTTCCGTATGCTTTGATTGTGGAACAATTGTGTCATAATTTTCATGGATTTCTGCAAGTTGAAAACAACAAAACTTACTTTTCAAATGACTCAATATTCAACAACTATCAGGTGTATGGTCCAGAAAGCAGTGGAAAGACTACTCTAGCGCTGCATGCCATTGCTGAAGTACAGGTTAGTTTTTCTCTTATAGTATGACACTATTTTGTAGACCTTTATGGAATACCCTCTGTACACTTAATGACTGTAACCTACTTCCAACATCTTATATGCAGAAATTGGGAGGCAATGCCATGCTTGTGGATGCAGAGCATGCTTTTGATCCAGCTTATTCTAAAGCACTTGGGGTAGATATTGAAAATCTGATTGTATGCCAGCCAGACAATGGAGAGATGGCACTAGAAAGTAATACGGCTTGCACTTTAGGGCTTGGTTAATATTTTTATTTCAAAAGTTGGAAATACATATATTATTTCAACCACCAATGAGTTTTCAAGTCATACTTAAGTTGATAAATAAGCTAAGCCTCCAGCTGATAAAATGTCCATCCTCTGGGTGGACTTGTGGAGGAGCATATTATATAATAGAAAAAAATGTGTAATTAATTATATTCATAAGTAGATTATGATTCTGTGTTCTCCATATTAGAATCTTTACAACGAATTTTATTGGTTTTTTTTGTAAAACTAGTTATATTGGGTTATTTATGAGCCATATTTAGGCAGATGAAATTATAAAAATAGAACGCATGAGGTAATGGCAATAACATTTTTCGCTTTGTTTTCTATCAGTTGCGGACCGCATGTGCAGATCTGGAGCTATCGATCTCATCTGTATTGATTCAGTGTCAGCTCTCACTCCGCGTGCAGAAATTGAAGTATGGCTTCTTTCTTTTTCTTTTATTCTTCTTTTGTTATGACTCTACTGAGAACATCTGCATCAGAAGTATGATTACCTTTTTTGTTAGGGTGAGATAGGGATGCAGCAGATGGGTTTACAAGCACGTCTAATGAGTCAAGCATTGAGAAAGATGTCAGGCAATGCCTCAAAGGCTGGTTGTACTCTTATGTTCTTGAATCAAATAAGATACAAGGTGTGCTACATTAGCTTTATGCTGACTTTTCATACCCATTTTATTATATTGGTTGATGGATTTTATTGGAACTAGATTGGAGTATTTTATGGTAATCCTGAAGTCACTAGTGGAGGGATAGCTTTGAAATTCTTCGCATCAGTTCGACTAGAGATACGGCCCATTGGCAAGATAAAATCTGTAAGATCAAAGAAGCAAATTTTAACCTTTCCTAAAGTTTTATTTGAGAATATTTCTTTTCTTTTGCTAAGGCCAAGGGAGATGAAGATGTGGGTGTGAAGGTTCGTGTCAGAGTGCAGAAGAGTAAAGTACGTCTATAATATATCCAGATTTCGCTCTGTGTTATGCTCCACAATTTCTACAGTACACATAAATATCTTGCTCTTTGCAAGGTCTCCAGACCCTACAAGCAAGCTGAATTTGAGATCATCTTTGGGGAGGGCGTTAGTAAACTGGTCAGTGCATGAAGTTTTCAGCTTTTGTCATTAGATCTTGCTGTATATATGCTAAATATGGCTTTTCACGCAGGGATGTGTTCTTGATTGTGCTGAGCTGATGGAAGTCGTTGCAAAGAAAGGCTCATGGTATAGCTACAAAGAAATGAGGTATGCTAGGAGCTTTCTAAGTGTAAATTATTGCATGTCACCTGTGGGCTGTGGCTATATAGCAAAATGTAACCAGCGAGTTTTGCATGTCTTTTGCAAATGATCCTCTGTGCCATTCCCATGTGAATTTCATGTGTTTGGGCTGGCTCTGGGAGACCCTTTGAGAGACATTCACCATATGTCTTGGTCCTTGGCATAGTTCATGTTTTTTTTGTGCCGCTTACAATAACTTAAAATGGCTATAAAGTCTAGATCTTTTTCATGCTTGTTCTTAAATTTCAGGATTTGTTGCAACCATGTATAGATTAACTATGCAGATGTTAGATCGTGTCATGTATCTGTTCAGTAAAAGCAGCTATAGAACTCACACAATTTGTTTGTGATTTTAATTGTTGTTTTAATATATTGCTTTGGAGTTCATGCTTTGGTCTATACACCCCAAAAGTGCAGTCTGTTTTCTTTAATTAATAACATTGCTGTAATTTCATCCAACCTCAGGAATTGCATTCTATGTATGAGTAAATGTTATATACTCCCTCCGTTTCAAAATGTTTGACACCGTTGACTTTTTAGCACATGTTTGACCATTTGTCTTATTTAAAAAAATTTGTGAAATATGTAAAACTATATGTGTACATGAAAGTTTATTTAACAATGAATCAAATGATATGAAAAGAATAAATAATTACTTAAATTTTTTGAATAAGACGAATGGTCAAACACGTACTAAAAAGTCAACGGTGTCAAACATTTTGAAACGGAGGGAGTATATTCTACCTTTAGCTTTCCATACACAGGCTGTGATTAAGATCGGTCATTATCTGCCGTGTAGTTGTAAGCATGTAGCTTTCATGGGTGTTACTTATTTGTCTGAATTTTGTGTGCAGATTGGGTCAAGGCAGAGAAAAAGCACTGCAGTATCTCCGAGAGAGCCCTACCATCTGTGATGAGATAGAAAAGGTTTGCTTGATTGTACCTGTGCTGTTCTTTGTTTTACCCGTGTAGACGTCAACCTGGTACAACCAACAAAAATTGAACTCACCAGTTGACACTGCTTTAAATCTCTAAAGTTGGGAGGTCTCAGTTATCTGTTCATGGTGTAACCATTTTTAAACATGCACATCATCATTTATACTCCCTCCTTCCCTAAATGTTTGACGCCGTTGACTTTTTTAAACATGTTTGACCGTTCGTCTTATTCAAAAACTTTTGTGAAATGTGTAAAACTATATGTATACATAAAAGTATATTTAACAATAAATCAAATGATAGGAAAAGAATTAGTAATTACTTAAATTTTTTAAATAAGACGAACAGTCAAACATTTTTAAAAAAGTCAACAGCGTCAAACATTTTGGGATGGAGGTAGTATGTTGTAGACCACCCAACACTAGGATAGGGAGTAGGCTTCTTTCCTTTACACAGATGATATATAGGTAAAAGGTGGATTTTTTTTTCCCACCAAAAGAAATCGTTTAATAACAAAGTGGCCTTTTAGAGTACTTATGTCAGTTGACTGAATACTTTCAATTGTATTCGATTCTTTTTCATGCTTGTGCTTTGACACACCTGTAGGCTGTTCGAGCCATGATACCAGAAGGAGCAAGACATATGAGCCTGCTCGCTTTCGGGCGGTCATCATTGACCGAAGAAGAACAAGTAGACGATGAGTGATGGATGCATCTAATTTTGAAGATGAAAGTGCTGAGCAATTCCAAGCTTTTGGGTCCCCTGGTGAACGGAGAAGACCAAGAGTGGCTCTTTCTTGAACTAATCAAGCATTGCATTGCTGGTAGTGGTAGGGAGTTGGGATTCCTTAAGAGTTTGATTTGTGAGCAATCATTTGCTGCAACAGCATTGTGATGACATATGTACCGTTGTTGGTATGCACTTGGTGTAAGGAAAAGGTCACTGATTCTCAATCAATGAAGCTTCAATTTCTGTCAATTTGTTCAACCATTTGGAAGAAGTCATGATTATTATATTTGCCTGCAATTTATGCTCAATGCTCCTAAACTAACTAAAAGACAGTAAGGCGTATGGGTTGCTAAACACCAAACAAAGAAATTAGCACGTCGGTTTGAAAATCGTGTTTACTTGTTCGGGAATCCTTTATCTTTGATTTGTGAAATCCTTGGGTTTAAACATTACTTCGGGAATTCTTATTCTTTTTTCTTTCAAAAGAGTAGCAACATACCCTTTTTTCTTATTTCCTTCGATAAAGCATTTCCCTCTTCTATAGAAATCGAATATGAGCGATTGATTCTGATAGACTTTTAATCAAAAGAGTTTTCCCATATCTTCCAAAATTGGACAAATGCTCATCCTTCCATAGAAAATCCGAAGGTTCAATTATGTTATTTAAATCTTGTTGTTTGCCTACAATACTCTACTCGCACATATTCAGACAAGCTATGTTGAGTGAAACAAATTTACATATAGAATTATAGATGCACTATATATTTATCAGCTGCTCAGATGCGGCGAAGTGAAGCCAGTCTCCTCTCCAGGTCGTCAACTTCAGCAGAGGATTCAGGCTCCACGTTATTTCTGGGGGGAGCGGCATTTCTGCAGGCACAACATGCGCATCAGGAAAACTAGAACAGATAGAAAGGTGCAGAACAGAGCCCAAATTCATTTGCTCGGTTGATGACTGAAAAAGAAACATTATACCGTGCTTGGTTGCTCTCAGCTTTCCTGTTGCTCGCCGCAATACGACCTTTAGGAGCTGAAGACAGCTGTATTTTCATGAAGGATTGGAGTCAGCATTTAGAATTATGAGGTACTTGTATGATGCCTAACAACTAACATGATGGCATATTGAGGAATAAATTTACCTGAGAAGCCACATCAACACCAATCTCATCAAGAACCTGCATAGGGGGGAACAGAAGGAAATATCATATGAGCGAATGGAAAAATCATGAAGCACAATTTCTGGCCATATATTCAGAAAAATCCTTATCAACTGATATGTACAGCGCAATACTTTACCTGGTTAGTAAGTTCTTCTGTTTCCTCTTCTGCCTCGTCCTTATCAAGTGTTTCATCTATAGCATCGGACATCATTTCAAGCTGCATGTAAAAATAGGATTTATCTTTCTTTTCTCCGGAGTAGCCGAGACAAGTGGTACTAAGTTGGCGCATGGATGGTGGCAGCTAGAGCACATCATTTGTGTTTTAACATTTGGAGGAACAGTCACAGATCTGCTATTGCACGAATAAAAATCTAGGCAATCTTTCGAAAGATTAACTGCTCATGATCATATATTATTAGTTAGCCCTTTGAGCAGGTTGGCATTATTCTACATAAAATTAAAAGGTGTCACTCATCACATAGATTGTTAATAGGTTGTATTGCATTAAAATAGTTAATAATCGTATGATGTCTTGTCCAACATAACTATATCTGAGAACAGTACAGATCGTTTGAAGCCTACAATAATTGCATTGGCTATTATGAATCATCTCCACAAAACAAGTTTGTTCATACAACATTTAATGATTCTCTGTATTGTGCTAAGTTGTATGTCTGCCCTGATCTTGTCTATGTTTATTAGTGCAAAGCAACTAATTAAGCAAAAAGATTCAAGTGGTAACATGGCGGAACATTCCCACTTTATACTGTAACAAACCCAGCATGCCCTAAATGTTCTTACCGTCATGTCCAACTGATTTGATTGTTTCTGGAATTCTCTCATAACCTTGATCTGTTTTGTTGGTTCCATTTGCTGGAAAAATAAACAGTATAACGTGTCACCAAAAAGGTTCACAAGAAAAATGACTATAGATTAGATAACATGTTTAACAACAGCCAACCATAGCTGTCTTTCATCAGACCTTATTCATTGCTGCCATTGCTTTGCTTGCACCTTTCATTCCTGCAGATATTGAAGTGCCTGCGTACATTGCCTGAATAAAAGAGACAAGTTTTGATCATAAATGACTAAATGTGTTTTGCCAACAGCCAGAACATGCAGTTGCATAAAACAAATTGAAAACTAGACATGCCTGTGTATGAGTAGCAACTCCACGTATTTGTGCCCGCGTGCCTTGCAAATTGACAATTTGTTGCCTAAGCCTCACAAGTTGCCGAGCTAGGATTTTGGTCGCAGCCTAGAGTGATCCAGATCATTTATTATAGGATATCAGGAAGAACCAGAATGGACTTTAGGGGTCTCCCACAAATCCTAAAAGGCTTACCTCATTTCCTGTCTTAGCAGTTTTCTTAATCTCAGCAACTAGTTTCTTCTCCTGGAATGGTACAATTATGACATTACCAAATCAGAAGGTACATTTTGCACAAGTTACTGTAGATGGTAGGTGAAAAAAAAAAGAGTTCCGAACAGTGCTGATCGATATGCTTTTCTGATCCAGGCTGAAATGTTTTCCACTTCCAGACCATGAAGGCATGGCAGCATAAAAAACTAAGTACACAACAAAAAGCACTCAAGTTCTTGTTACACCTTACAGAGTATTTGAGCTGCCAGAGTTACATGGAAAGAACTAGCAGTCTACCCAAAGCCCTTTTCATCTGGTTCTAGGCTAACTTTACTATATTGAAGAAGACAAGCACATATGTTGTCAAGGTTCAAAGTGATGCTATCAACCTCAATTTACCTAAAATTAAATGAACATAAAAGATAGAGTATTTCTCTTAAAAATAGCAGTGCTATTGCACTCCTGATACTAAACATTGCAAACATCAGTCCATCGGACACCATAAGCATGATGATAGAATAATACTGGCTTCCCAACATAAACATGAGTACATGACCAAACTGTTACTTTTTTTTTCTGACATACCGTCAGTGCTACCTAATGCTGCCTACTCAGTAGTACTCTGTACTCAGTACTCGGTAATGCGAAATATGGCCAAAGTTTGTCACATTGTCTTTTCTGAACCTTTTGTATCCTGAATTATATATAGGATAAAGAGATGTGCATACCTCCATTTGCAGGGAGCCAATCTCTCTCTCAACTCCTAAAATTAGTATAAAAATAAAAAGAGAAAAGGTAGTGTCAGAAGCTAAGCTGCTGTAATCTTATTCGGTGCAACTGTGCTGCGATACAAGTCATGAATTTGTCCACTACTAAACCAAACCACCCATATTCATGAACTTAAAATGTTTTGTGGGTGGATCAGTGGAGGGAGCAACAGAAAGAGGAGCAGATGGAAATTGTTCTCACCCCGTGTAGCAACTGACATCTCCCTCTTGCTGGTCCTGAGAGCCTCTGCAAGTGACATTAAACATCACCATCAGTTCATCACACCACCAAAAGACTTAACCCCCAAATCTTTTTTATTCACTGGTTTCCACAAATAATCCACAGAGATTACAGATTCCTCCACCCCCCCCCCCCCCACCAAACGAAAATGCACATCGTACGAGTCACCCTAAAACCCTAACCCCCCCCCCCCCCCCAATCAACGCAAGAAAAAGAAACCCCCACTCTCCAATCCACACCAAGAAAAGCCCAAAACCCAGCAAGGATCTCACTCTCCGACCGCAAGAACAGACGCATCATCGCAACGCAGCTGCAGATCGGACCAAATCGACCCCTACGGTAGAAACCCCACCCCGCCGACATAGACCAAGAAAAAGAGGAGCGAAATCCAAGAAGTGGAACCGCAACCGCACCTTTGGGGTCGACCTTCTTCTTGAAGATGTTCATGGCTGCTGCTGCTGCTGCTGCTAGATCCCCTCCAGAGACCAATCCCTCCCCCCACTGGATTTCTCTCTCTCTCTCTCTCCCACGCAGATTTGGGAGCAGAGAGAGAGAGAGGCGTGAGCAGTGTAGAGAGAGAGAGAGAGAGAGAGAGAGAGAGGGGGGACGGCGCCGCGCGAGCCCAACGGGAAGGGAAGGGGGAGGTCTCGCTGCTGGGCTTTTTAGGCTTTTTTTCACGAGTAGCCGTTGCAAAGCTTAAAATAAACCCAAAAAATAAAAGAGGAAGAAATACCTTTTTGCTAGGCGCAGCCGGAGATACAATCCGCACGCGAGAAAAGGTCACGGCTATGTGGGGCCATCATAAGGTGGGGCCTACACGCCAGTCTGTATGGATGGTGCGGAATTATGCAGCACAGCAGCAGGGGAGGGGAGCGCCTTGGGATTGGGCGAACGGCCCACTTCTCCCTGTTTGCCTATCTTTGTCTTTTATTTTATTTTCTTCCTTTTTCGCGGCTGCGACCTTTCTTTTTTATTTTACCTGAATTATAATTCCATTGCTTTTATATGGGATGGTGGCGAATTTTATTTTCCCCAAATCCATAGGGAAGGTTATTATTTGGTTTGTGAGCGAAATTATTTATTACTTCCCCTTCTTCGGAAGAATATCAATTCATTTCCTTCTCATTTTTCTTTCGAAGCTTATTATGTGGAGGAAATTGTCCCTTATTGCATTTTACAAGTAGCGGTAATTTTCTCTCTTCTTTTTTTATTTTTCGAGTATCGAAAGAGGGAATTGCCTTTACTTGATTTCTGCATTATTAGATCAATTATTATATTATTATCACATTTCGAGTGATTTTTTATGAACGCTTCAGACGCTAGCCTCCATAATTAACTGAGCAAAGCTATGAGATGAAAACTACACAATCATATCTCTTAAAAAAGATAAAATAAAAATCCACCACAGCAAAAGAAAAAGTAAATCCATCAATTAATGCATTATTCGTCTTTATATTTCCTATCAATAAATATAATAATAAGCCCCTGCAATGTTATGCACAGCTTTACCTTCCCAACCATGCTACTTTGGACGTGTTTGGTAGGGGTGGGCAGAAAAAAACCGAACCGAAAAGATCGAGATCGAGCCCGAAAAGACCAAGACCGAGAAATTCGGTCATCAATTCGGTCGGTCAATTCAGTTAGTCTCCTTGGGTAACCGAATAAACCGAAAAGACCGAATTATCAAAAAATGTCTAAATGCAACCTACAATCCACTATATTTAATAGGATTAAACTCTAATTTTCACATCTCTACTTCTTCAAAGCATGCAACCTAATAAGAGTCTTTACTAATAAGTGCTTATGATTTTTTTTGTGATTTTTGTGTTGAAAATTTCCATTATTTCTTTGTATATATGAAAATGTTGTTGAATTTCAGTCAGGACCGAGACCGAGACCGAATTTGTCGGTCCTGATATTTTTGCATTGAAATTCGGTCTTTACTTTTCAAAGACCGAAAAGACCAAAATTTTCGGTTAGACCGAATGCCCACCCGTAGTGTTTGGTTCCTGCATGGGAGTTGTTTTCACTCCAGGGCTCTACAAGCTGAGCTACTGTCCATCCTATGTGGTAGAAAACAATAGAGTAAGGACAAAATCCAAATAAATTACCCTTCAAATGCAAGCCATACCACTAAAAGTTCCAGTGCATCGGAACCCATTTAGTTGGAAGAACACAAGCACTTCTCCGTCAGGAACCCATGACATATCTATCAGTGTTGCTAGAACTTGAGTGCTCAACAGACGGATTGCCGCTATATTTCTTCACTGCTGACATGTTCCCCCGTCAATGCCACCTAACTTCATAGCTCTATCGATGCCACATGTGCTACTTCACTGCTCTGTTGCTACTTTTGCCACTCCTCACCGTTGGTCGTCTCGCCACCACTTGCCGCTGGTTGCCGCCGCCACTGCTATTGCTAGGTTAGGGTTTTGGGGAGGGGGATTTGGGGTCGGGATAGTGTGTGGATTTGAACCAGTCCCAGACAAATACATGATGAACATGAGGGGTATTTTTGTCCTTTTGGAGCATTCATGTCTCCATTCAGCAATGAAATGATAAAATAATGGTTGTGGTGCCCTCCAACATATTACCAGATTTTTGGTGTCCTATAGTCATGTCACACTTTTACATAATCTGATAGCAAATACCTCAAACTTTGAGTGTCTAGGAAATTTTGCTAAACCAAAAAAGGAAGGTTGATTAGGCATAATCAACCTTACATGTCAAAATATAACATTGTTGATGAAACATCTGGATAAGTTCTATGATAAGAAGAACCTACCTTGGGTGGGCATGAATTGGATAAATATTATCAAGATACAAGCCTTTCACCACATGCTCATAACTGGAATGTTTTGGAATGATATTTTTAGATTGATACCCCTATTCAAAGCTATCTCTGAAATTCAATTTGGAAGAAGGGATACAATTTTATTTTTGGAAGATCAGTGCAACCGCAAGATCATGAAATCGCCCTTCCCCACCTTGTTCTCTTTTGTTAAAAGGGGAGGTATGTTAGTGATGTAATTCTTGCAGCAAGATAACATAGAGAAGCAATTTCATCTCCCTCTTTCTGTAAAAGCAATGCAAGAAATATATAGTCATTCCTCGATATTAACAGGTATGTCCCTGACACTTGCAAGATGAGCAACTGCACACGGATTCAAAATTGTATGTTTCAATCTATGGCAATGCATTATGATATGTTTAAGATCTCGTCACTCCATTTGTTAACTTCTCTCTTTCTGCTCCACTGATTCGGCTAGAACAAGATTTATTTTCTTGTCTCCGACAAGTGTTCGATGATAATCATCACTGCCTTAAAGAATTGTACTTCGTGATGATGATGTGAATGTGTGTTCCAAGCAAAAAGGATTTCATTTTTTCACTTAGTCGAAAAAAAAACTGAATTGTGTTATAGGCAAGGCTAGTTGGAAAGTATGCATTAGATTGCTAGGGCTACTAGGGATAAGAGGAATAACTACTAAAAGCAATTTTGTTATGATGGTATAGCAACCACCACCTCTAAGAAGTTGTTCTTGTACTTAGTTATATCACCACTGCATATGTAGGTGGGTAGGGTTCTTTGCCATAGCTTTAGTTGTCATTGGACGCAAACAACACATTCTCGTTTGATAGCAGAACATAGCTAAAGATAAAAGCATTAGATTGATGCTAGATATTTAGACGTGGTTGGAGGGTTATTGGCTACGACGCAGTTCGAGAAGAAGTAGTGATAGTAGAGACCCATCCGAATGTATTGTAAACTATTTGCTATCAAGTGTAAAGTAGGTATAGCCCCGGTCTACTTTGCAATTTATTTATTACTCCCCCGTCCCAAATTATAAGGCATATTTTTTTTACACAGTCTTCAATGACATAATCGGACCATTAATTTTTTTACACGAATATGAAATTAGCATCACATGAAAGTACTTTATGAATCTAGTGATATAACATGTATAATACTTAGCATACATATGGTTACTGTGATTATTAGTGAAAAGATATTGAGTTTGATTTTCCTAAAAATAAGGGCACCCTATAATTTGGGATGGAGGAAGTAGTATTTTAAAAAAAAAATATGAGGCCTCATTTTATATTAGCAACGACCCAACGATACATAGAGACGACCGTGAATATATTTTAGTATATATATACTATTCATCCACAGTACGGGTATGAATGAAGTGGCGGTGCCCGTGATCCAATCACTCCCATCGATGATGTTATCAATTCTAATATTTCATGCCTTAGTGACACTGATTATTCCATCGTAGCCCTGCCATTTCACCCAACTACTCATGTCGACGTCCACTTCCTGGTTATTATACTCAACATAATACATTATGTTGAGACCAATTGATCCATTCCTTGGTAGATATTCGAGTGGGTTTATAATGTCATCCAATTAGTTATCCACGAACATCACATGCAAGTATATTTTCCAAGGATGACCGAGCAATGTCTTTGTGCAAGTGTTGCCAAGGCATATATCACCTGTCAAAGTGCAAAACTGAAAGATAAATCTAGACTTCTTAGTTGCATCACTCCTTCCTTGCATTGTGATGATATTTTGCTGCCCACGGAGAAAACGATGTGCAAACAAATAGAAGTTCTGGAACATAGCAACTGCATCACCGACAATGAAGTTAATGGTGCCAGAGATTCCTGGTTTCCCTCTAGAGAACACTGGTACACAATGGAATGGTCTGATACTAATCGGAGTGCCATCGCTTGATGCTTGGCGGCACCTACAGTGTTCTAGACTATTAGCACCGATATCATCACGTAGTAGTGTTAGTTGATTGTAGGACGGATGTAAAGTATACCGAGTGTTGAGTGGCGATCTTACCCCCACCCAACCCCTTTCTGGCCCTAAGAAAAAAAAGTCAGTTTGACATAGGGGTCCATGGCCCCCTAACATTTTTTACATACTTAGTTCACTCGATCAGTAGACCCCTGGCAGCCACTTATTTTACTTCATTCTTTTGCACTTGAGATATATCTCAGTAGACACGATTGACAAGGATTGGTGTACCTTGCAGTGTTATTCTGCGGAGTCACCATGACCACTGCACCCGTTGTTGTGTAGTTTCTAGTTCTGTCCTTAGCAACCACCGTGTTGATGAAAAGACCATCCTGTAGGGATTAAATCAGTTCGGATAGTTTCCAACATCCAGATGCAATTTTAGAAATAGATAGTCTCGGACATAATTTTTGGATTGTACTGTATACTAAAACGAATATGGTAAGACTAGTATCCGACGGAAATCGGAAATTGTTGAAAAACTATCCAGAGTTTTTTTTTCCGGATATCCACGAGTAGATATCAATTCCTAAAAAAAAATATGTATGTATACATAACTTTATCGAAGTCAAATGAAATAAACTTTGTAGTTTAGAACTTTATCATTTGAGATCATTTATGGGTCTAAAAAATCATTACAAAAATCTCATATCTAATTTTACAAAATCTCTGACCTATTATTCGGACGACCTTTGATGGATACGTGCTCTATATTAAAGTTGTAGAGCTGGACGGGATGTACTACTTTGTAGTTCATGATATTTCCATTTGAAATTATCTAAACCACATAAAAACATTATAAGTTTTGAAGAGAA